AATAAAATGCTCTGCATGGGCATGGGTAGAAAGTTTTTGGGGAATCTGAGAAATCAGTAGCAGCCCAGACTACTGATATTTCTCTCTGCTCATCTTGCAGAAAGGATGCAGGAGCTGCTTTTGAAAATGTAATCACTACCACCACTAGGATGCTTTTCAGTAACTCATTTTGCGAAAACGGATTCATGGATTATCATGATATCAATACATTATGCTGGATTGATAGGCTATTTTATCTTGTAACGTTTTGAGTTTTTATGGATTTGTACATTAAAAATTGGAAAGTGTTATACTTAGTAGATCTGTCCTTTCTTAGATTTAGACAAGCTTTTACATATCTACAATTTCAGCCATGCTGAGAGCAGTAATTGATGGCAGATAGATCAGGTCCCTTAATGATCAATGACTACGCATTTGTAGATAACCAGAAACTGAAGATCTGATATGCAGTCTTTGGGTATATACTTTATATGCATGACTGTATATTGTAATATTGGAAATATTATCTGATTTGCAATCCAAATATGCTTTAAGGAATATGTACCACCTGCTGTGTGATGGCCAAGTGACTGAGCAGGCTGTGCTCTTTGCCTTAGCTGGCTCAGAAATTTGTGCTCAAGTCCTAAATGTGATTTACAGATAAATGGAAATATGCTTCTTTAGTGTCAAAGCCTAGCTGCAGATAAATGACATCTATCCCCTAAACAACCCAAAATCCTGGGCCAATACAAAACCTCCTTGGAATGGGGTGTTCCTGGGTTGTTAATTAAAAAGCAAAAACTGCAAACTCAATCACACATGCTTCACTCATCCCCACAACTCCTGAGTTAAACAATCCAGGAATTTTTTTCTGTGATATGCAGACTAGGTCATCTGTATGTTAGCTGGTCCAAGGCAGGTCATTTGGCTTAACATTTTGTGGTAAGAGAACAGAATAATCTTCTACCAGAATTAAGCAAATAGGTTTAGATCCTAGCTTTCCTCCCAAGAACAAAACAGAACATATTTTCATCCATGGAATGAGGCTTCTCCCAGCAGTTCATAAAAATATTCTCCTGGAGGTTGGCCATCCCTTGGGAAGGAGCTGGAATATGATGAAGGGAGCTACTGAATGAGGAGAATATTGCCTTTGATTAAGTGAACCAGGGAGCAATTTAGGATCTGTGCCGTATCCTTCAAGTGCTATTAACATTAAGGTTAGTTTAGGAAGGACATTATAAACAGTTTTCACATAAACCTTAAGCCAGTCCCTTGAAAATGAATTCTTCTCTATAAACAAAGAATGAAGGGAGGAGTCTCAGCACTGAGCTTTCAGCACTCATCTGCTTGCAAACCTTTCCAAACTTTTCCCTTGAAATGCAAAAGCCTCAAAACATAAAAATGTCAACTGGATTAATTAAATGTTTGAGTCCCAACAGCTCCTGCAGTGTCCAAAGGATGACAGCATGGATTGGTGACACTGGGGGTCATGAGAGATAGTGTCATGTTTCAAGCAGATGTGAAATTAGTAAATCAGAGCACTGGGACAGCTTGCAGGCCATGTTAAAAATATTTGTCCAAATCCTTACATTCGGAGTTAATGAGCTGAGGAAGGGCAATTGGGGTGGGAGGAAAGGAAAAACAAACCTCATTTTGCAAGTACACCACTGAGTTTTTCTGTTGTTTCTTCAAGTAACTTTATTCCCAACAGCACTGAAGTATATCTAAACTGCTAGAACCCCCTATGTGCAGACATTTAGACTCCTAAGTTCTTTGGATAGGAGCTGCTATCTGGTTGGCCATAGGAAAATTTGGAGTCCCAGTTCTGAATTTGCAGACTCAGTCTGAGACTTCAAACGTTTAATACTATCCCCTTACCCTTGCAGCCAGTACAATTATTTCTGTCCCAGCTGCAGCTTAGAAGTTGCAACACCAACTTCAATGCTGGTGCTATGTAGCAAGGAAGGCAGATGTGAGGCTCAGGAAGCTTAGGCAAACAAAATCAACCATCTAAGTCTTTCACAGGGTAGGAAAAGCACAGGGGTGACAGTTCTTCCATCCTCAATGAGAAAGTGGTAATCCACTGAGTTTGGAGTGCTAAAGGCAGCTCCATAGGATTATGCCTTAAGCAATCGTATCTTAAAATTAAGTGAATGATAAACAGAGATACATCTAAAATGGTTTTATTGAATATTTTAGTAGACTTGGGATTTCAAATTAACACTGAGCGAAGATTACTATCGCAATGACACTTTAGGGAGGATTCTTAGAGGTATTCAGTCGTAATCCCACAGATGGTGGCTTCGCTCCATTGGCTCCTCAGCCATGGCAATAATAATAATAAAAAACAGAATCAAACCTACAGAGAAAGCAAGTGTTGTCTTCTGGATGGAGACCACAAGGCATTAGGGTCTTGAATCTCTCAACCCAGATGTTACTTCATCCTTCTAAGAAGCCCTGAATGTAGTAGTTGTTCTACAGGAAATATTTCCAAGTCAAAGAGTTTCTGGCTTATAAAAATGAGAATGTTTGAAATGGATTGCTCTATTTGGTCATAATTGCTGATCTGTAGTTCTTGAACTGCGTACAATCATCTGGTTTGGTTGTCTTTTGTCAGTTGCATCCATTGTGATTGCATTCAGTAGTATATATCACATTCTTTGATTAGTAGGTAACAATCTGTTTCATGAAATAGGACCTCCCAGTTGTTCTGCTCTATTTGTCTAAGGTAAATGTAGGTAATACAGTGATTAGGTTCACAGTGATGCAACCAAGGATTGTTGATTGCTGGTTTTATTTCAACTTTTATCTGTTACCTTTGTAGATGTGAAAGATGGAAGAACAAGATGAAAGACCTTTTTTAAATTAAAAAATGTGACTTTCCCAGAACAATGAAACAAACATAGAAATAGTTTATATTCCATAAAATTTAGATATATCAGTTGCAATAAATTCCTATAGAATTTCATTCATTCATTCATTCATTCATTCATTCATTCATTTCATTTCATTTTCATACCACTACATATCCAAATGGCTTTCTGGGCAGTTTATATAAAGTTAAAAGTGGGCAAAAACAAAGAAACAGAAAAAACATTATCACAATAAAACAAATTTGTATGCCTATGTAATACATGCATACAAGGAAACATACTACTGTCAGTAGTGTTAATTATGCACTGGTTTCATCAAAGGCAAGGCAGCTATCACTATATTTTTCCATGTGCATGTGGCATCTAAATAGCACCCATTCAAAGGCTGAAAGTTTCAAAAAGTTCTTAGACTATTGCATTATCACAGGTGGCAGTTTATCCTTCGAGTGCTGTAATATCAATTGATTAGCTGTCATAAGACTGTAGAAAATCAGTTTACCTCCAAGAAGCAGAGAGATTGTTAAGCAGAACATGTACATCCTTAAATGTTAAAGAGTTTTCCAATACAAAATTTATCTGTATTATAGCCTACTTCCAAAAGTATACAGCTGTTGGACATTGCTAAAACATATGGGTGAAGGAAGCATTGGCCCTGTTACAAGTGTCCCATGACTGTGGAGTGTGCTCATCAGGCACGGAGCTGAGGGCTGCTGCAAAATGGACTAGAGTCTGGAAAGCTGAACCCAGAGCATCTAGTGCATTCACACCAGCAAAAGGGATTCATCACATATCCCTAACCTGACCCCTATGTTTTTATAGTTAAATTTAAATTGTGGTTTGAGTTGGATGAACTGTGGTATATGAGAGTTCTTTTCAACAACAGTCCTGTCACAGTGTTGCACAATACTTTTGACCTTTTTCTTGTATTTTTATGAAAAAAAGTTCTGAGATTCTGTACTGTCAATGCCTTGGACTGGTGTATTTTATAAGGTTATTCATTTTAAACAGATCAGTCACAGTTTGGATGGAGTGGGGTACAGTAGGCCCTAATGCACTAAATAAATCTAGTAGAAACAAGGCAACAGGTCCACAGCAGTAACATCCAGCTGATCTGCTTTTTGTTAAATGAGACACATGAATAGAATGGATTGAGGTAATTAAATTGGATGGTGACACCCAGATGGCTGTAATTGGGAACAGCTGTAGGGTCAGGGAACATACTGTATTTTGGGAACCATTAATGACCATCCGTAAAAGTGACCATAAACTTAGCATAATAGAAGTCACCCTAGTCATCAAAGTTCTCACCGAAATTATGGGATAGACATATTCAAATCTTGTTAAGACAGCATTGAGGTGCTCTCCTATTGATCTTCTTCTGCATGATGCCCAGTCTGTCTGTTCTTTGGCTTCTAATGTGCAATGTGTGTGAGTACATTAATGTTTAGATGCTTGCTCTCTCTCTCTCTCTCTCTCTCTCTCACACACACACACACGCGCGCGCGCGCGCGCGCGCGCCTGTACAGAGAGGGAGAGAAAAGAGAGAGAGTGTACTACATAAACAGCTTCAGTGTGGCACAGTTCTGTGTAAGCGTGTCATAACCATTTGGCTATTGCCAAATGTATGGATCTTTCACGATGGCTTTCTTTGCATAAACTGAGCATTAACTATTAAGAACCAGTGTAGCAAATGGGTGTTTGACTGGTACTAGGGAGGTCTGGATTCAAGTGTCAACTTGCCCATGAAACTCACACTGGGCTAATCAATGACTCTCAGTTTCATTCACCTCCCAGGATTATTTTGCAGATAAAGTGGAAAGGAAGAAAAGGCAAGACACAAAGATAATAAACAAACAACTGATCACAGAAACATGCTTCCCTTTGACATACGTATATGTTGTGCTTCTCTGTTGTGGTTAGCTGGTATTTTCTATCCTTAGTCCATATTAAAAAACAAAACCTGAGCCTATGATTTGATAGCATGTAATTCAGCAATCTTGGGAAAGATAAGCAGTTTTGGACTTTATCATTGCCTGGCCAGGAGACTATCTGGAAACTTTATTTATGCTGTGTTGAATTCAGTGGATGAAAAGGAATATACATATAATAGTGCTTAATGATGATGCTTTTGGTTATCTTAATTTTCAGGTGAACGTCCTTACCAGTGTCCTTATTGCGATAAAGCTTTCAGCAAAAATGACGGATTAAAAATGCACATTCGTACCCACACCAGGGTAAGTATAGATCTGTTACCTCATCTGTTTGCTTGACAACCTAAAATGGGCAATGGAAAGTGGATGCGTCTCTACAGTAGTGAATAGCAGTTCATTGTTTGTGCCAGTAAAATTCCTTGTACTAAACAAGCAGATGAGCTCTGTTGTTTCCCCCCTTTCGTGAGGCTAGAAACATTTGCATTAATCTGCCCCGAAAATCAGACTTCTCTGTAAGCATTGGATAATACTAAACTTCATTGCAAAGGGGTTGTTTTTAGGGTGGTGTTGCCATCCTTTTATTGCATAACGGACCTTCCCGTTTTAATCTAAATAACCTCATTCCCAAAACAGAAAGCAGGGATTTCCACAGTCACTTAACTTGAGCCATGTGTGGCATGATGGTTTAAATATGTTGAAGACATTGTGACTGATTGTCAGATAAGAAGATGGAATGTCACATACCTCATCACTTGTGACAAACATGTTATATTTGAAATCCTTGCAGCTATGCTAAGTGTGATTAAAAATATACAAAACAGAAACTGAAGACTTTTTGATCTGCCCAAGTTTAGTCCTGTGATATTGTTTATGCACTGGAGTTCTGAAATCCAGAAGTCAGTCTTGTTTATATCTGATTGACATTTTGTGCAACCTCTCACCAAATCATGGCTCTTTCATTTCAAAATAATGGACATTGGTGCTGGGGTGTCAGTGGTATGAACTACATTCACTTCAAAAAAAACAAGAACACAAAAAAGAGTGCTCTTCAAATGAATAGATGACTATTTCACATTTTTCTCACAGGGTGTAGTTGATTACATTGATTGCTTACTTTATTTTCATCAAAGCAGGATATGTTCAGTCATCACTAGCAGCATGTCCTGCAGATACATCCCTAAAAATGTTGGCATAATCAAGGCATTTCAAGCTCCAAACTGACGCCTATTTAAACTCTGGTGGTTTCCTGCTTCATTGCAATCCACTTACACCATAGATGCTTGCTGTGGACAGCTGCTTGCCATACATGCCAATAAATGGTGAATGAATTGTTCAGCAGGAGGATCATCATTGGATGGCAGACATAGGCATGAAGACTGTGTCTTATTAGTATATGTTTGCCTTTTAAATTTTATTATAATTTGCAAGAATACTGTGATACACATAATGAAATCTGATATTCTGAGGATCTTGAGACCAAGAGCTAGGTGCCTGTGGACCTCATGTTGCTTACCACTGCTTTTTGTAGATGAGCACAGCAAAGTATTCTCCCATCGTGAATTATTATTTTAAACCCTGGAAATCTTAATTGATTTAGCTAGTCATTTAGTTTCTTACGGGAGCATCCTTTTCTGGGGCAAATAGCAACATGGGGAGAGTTGTGGATATCATGGGGAGAGAGAAAAAGGTTAAATTTCCTTCTCCACATGGTGTGATTCTCTCGTCACATCTGCTGTTATTTATTTCATGAACTTTCTAATGTAGTTTGGCCCTGAGTCATGGCATTGGTCCACCTACCCCAGGCAAAGACCTTTCTCACCCTCGTAAGTGGAAGTTCTTAAACTGAACCCTGAGTCTTTTTATTTATAAGACATGCACTCTACCACTGAACATTGTTCTAAGTTCCCTAGAAATGTTGTGATAATTTCCATCTTTGACAATACAGAATCTGATAGCATCTGGCATTGTGGCAGACTGCTCTTTAGTTATGGTTACTATCTTTATCTTTTAAAGATACACTTTTAAACTTGAGTATAGTACATTTAGTTTATAGCAATAGAATGTACCTCTTTTTTCTTTTAAGTTTGAAATTTGAACAAGGCCACAAACTACTAGTAACTGAACAGCACTGTATTGTTGTAAGAAAGACTTACCGCTCTGTAACCGCCGCCCTCTCAAAACCATGCAGGTGAAATGTCCAAATAACTATACACCCAAAAAACCATACCAACAGGTAAAATTATTAAGCATGTAATCATTTGCAAGATATGAAAGCATGCCCTAACTAAGGTATTATCTGTTCAGAAAGAGGAGATATATAGGTGCATATTAATCATTCAGGTCAATAATTCCCCACAATGTAAAGTACAGCATTTTCAGAAATAGGTTCTGGGTATTGACTGATTTTATATTTTTAAGTGAAAGAATGTATTGTATTTTTAACATACATGTAACAGTTATGCAGGTATAGCACTAAGGCAGTAACAAATTATGAATTGCAAGTAAAAACAAGAAATGTTGCAGGCAAAAATGATGCACGCTACTTGAACAGTCTATGCACAGTCACTGTATCTCACAACTGCATGGCTAGGACAGATAAAATGGTTCTATGAAGCATATTATTACTGCATTTTTTGTCATTGCATTGAAAATTTGCTATTATATCTACTGCTAGGTCAATTAGTGAGGATAATGAATCCCATGAAATGGTTGCATTATTTGAATTTGCACTATATGAAGTTATAATTATATGTAAAATAGGGTAATTGATTCCAGCTTGACAGAAATAGGCAGTGAAAATTTTAAACATAAGTTTTATTTATTTATTTTTTTTGCAAAAATGTTCTATTTCTATCATTGTAGCATTTGTATTCCTTGTAGATTTTTACAAACTGCAAAAAATCTGATGCAACTTTACCTTTTTCTTTTATTTCCCCTGCATGTTCTGTAATATTCCACACTGTGGATTCAGGGATTCCAATTTCTTGCCCTATTTTAGAGTTGCAAGGACCACATTCATGTTGTTTGGTGATATCAAAATTTTGTTCTAAGGTAATAATGAGCCCCTTCTTTTTTGCAATCACAGGAATCTTCCTTTTGTCCATTTTGTTAAGGACACCTCTTAAAGGAAATCACAAAAACTAAGGTATATTACGGCGGGCAGCAGCACATCCGCAAGTGCAGTTAACAAGTGCAGGCTAAAGTAGCAGCATCTAAAGTGCTAATGGTAACCTGGGACCCTCAACTACGCATGTGCTACCCTCGCATTAATTCTGTTGTGGTTCCCATTACATGCGACCTGGTATGTTGTACAATTCACACTAAGCTGAATATTGAACACCACGATATTCAAACTCGCAATAATTGTGACAGAGCTGTACAGGAGTGTTTCCCATCTCCTCCAGCTTAAGAACCTAAGATCCCTGTGTGGGATCAGACCAGCAGTTCATCTAGTCCAGCATTATCTTCACACGGCTGCCCACAGGATGAGTGAAACAACCCTTCCCATTTCCCTTCCCAAGTTTCCTAGTGACTGCTGCACATAGGAATACTGCCTCTGCTACTGAAAGTAGAATATACCCATCGGGACTAGTAGCTATTGATGGAATTGTTTGAGTGCCAGTATGGCATAGTGGTTACAGCATTGGACTGGGGTTCTGAGAGCCCTGGTTTCTAGCCATAGAGGTCCCTGAGTGACTTTGGATCAGTCACAGACTCTCCGCCTAACCTAATTCGCAGGGTTGTTGTTGTGAGGATAACACTGAGCTATGTAAGCCACTTTAGATTCCTTCCCAGAGGAAGAAGGGCAACATATACTTGTAATCTTACAACAACAAGAACAACAGAATTCTTGAATCTGTCCAGTCCCCTTTTAAAAGCATCCTACTGGATGGCCATCACTACATCTTGTGGAAGGGAATGTCATTGTTTGTATATACATTGTATAGGAAGTTCTCCCTTTTCTGTCCTGAACCTGAATCAGGTTCATGGGTTGAGCTCAGGTTCTAGTTTATGGGAGGGGGAGAAATGTCCAGTTTCTCCGTACCATGCATAATTATGCACACCTCCATCATGTATCTCCTTATTTATTTTCTAAGCGAAACAGTCTCAGCTGTTGTAACCTTTCCTTGTAGGTTTCTTTCATAATTTTAGTTGCCCCTTTCTGCCGTTTTACTAACCCCACAATTTATTTATCAAATGTATATTCCAATTAACCAATTAGTCCAACAGGTGCATTACAGAGCCGGCAATGCCTTTTTCAGGTGTAGCAAGCAGAACTGTACACAGTATTCTAAATGTATTTGTATAATAGGAGTATATAAGGGTGGCATGACATCGGTAGTGCCTTTCTTAATTATGCCCTACATGTAGCTTGCTTTTTTTACAGCAGTCATAGACTAATTTAGCATTTTCAACCCAAGATCCTTGGTCAGCCATTGCTAGTTCAGATCCCATCAGTTATACATGAAGTTGTGATTTTTACCCAATATGCATTACTTTATGTTTGATGCCCTCACAGTCATGGGAGCTTTAATGATGTATATGGCACAGTGGCATTCATTTCTTCAAGTAAATAAACCACACACAAAAGAGGGCTTATAAGAAATGGGCTAATGCTAAGAAGAAGGGATCTGAAGGAGAAGATGAAATAGTTGGAAGAACCAAGGAGCTGTAAATGTAAAGCTTAGGAGCTTGAAGTAGGTATGAAAAGTAGATGTGAAAAGTCAGAAAGTATCAAGTGATAGGGTTACATGAACATAGCCTTGAGAGGGAAAAGATTACTCAAAGGAAGACATTTTGAATTGATTTCATAGTCTGTTCATTTGAGATATCTGGGGAGCCTGTTTCATATTGATTTGCCTAGTGATGTAGTCCTGTACTACTCTGGCAGAATCTCACATAGCACAGAAATATAGGCGAGTGCTTTATATTGAGTCATGCCCTTGGTCCCTTTAGCCCAGCGTTTTGACTTGCTGTGGCTCCAGGGTTTTTAGCAGAAGTTTTCTTCCAGCCCTGGAGAAGCTGAGTCCTTTTGTATGTAAAGCAGGTGATCTGCCACTGAGCCATGGTTTCTGGGGTGTGCTTAGTCTCAGTTCATTCAGGACACCAGCTGAATGGTTGGACCTTGCTCTCCCTCAGTATGAATTGAGTGTGTGCATAGCTAAACATAGGATGTCAGAAGGTGCAAATGAACTGGATGGCTGGAGCATTATTTAAAAACATGTTCCTTGTGTATAATACTGCAGAATGATGTATAAATACAGTGGCTCATTGATTGCTTCCAAGACTGTGTGAAGTCACCG